CTAAATGAAAAATTAAACTGTAGGTAATATAAAGTGTATGGGTGAAATTATATAAAATTATATGATTTTCACAAAATTATCATGTGTTGTAAAATGCACATTTTTAATAACCTTTTCCTTGGTAAAAATGTCGCACTTTTTCAGTTTCAAAGATAATCACAAAAAAAACTTTCGCTATTTTTACACTGAATTCTATATGCACAAATGTCTATATATATATAGACACTTTAGACACAAGTATCGTAATACTTATTTGTTCATAGAGTAACAAAATATACTAATAGATAAAAAAAATATACAATAATATTTTAAGAAATAGAGGTGACCATGGAATGTTTGAAACATCTCCAAATCAGATATATGAAACATAAATGTCATGTGTCATATGAAATTATTTAATTTGATCTATTGAAAGTTCTCTTTTCTACTGATTTAAAGCTATGATTTGGTCCATCTACACACGATACTTCACGCAACAAATAATAAATTACGTTTATTATTTCTTCAAAGACAAAATTATAATCATAAATATAAATAAATCTTATTAAAAATATCACAGACTTTCAAGCATTTAAAGTTTTTCCACATGTAATTCGAAATTATTGAAAATTGAATATTAGTTATGTACTCGAATAGGTAACCTTATAATATTACTCATAAGTTATAAAAACTACTCTGAGCCTACCCTTCTTTCTTTATATAAATGTTATACTTAAGTTCAAAGAAATTATTCTTTCATTTCTTATGGATGAGTATATAAATTATACATCATAATTTTATTTGACAATAAGTAACACCTTCTATGCCATAAGAAATTAAACAATTTTTCAGTGCTGTAAATGTTAACAAATGTCACCTTTACTGTAATTACAATAATTCTCAATTACCCTTCGGTTTTATTAATTTACAAAACATTTTTTACCCATATTTTTTATGTCAAATATGCGTGGAATGTTACTTATGTAAGTGGCATAGGAAGTATTAACTACTAACGAATGTGTAACATTATTATTAATTAATTATTAATTCTTTAATGTTCGAAATATTAGTTTTCTACTCACAAAGGTTTCGGTGGATCGCTCGCAAGTAGGGTACCATCATTTCTTGCATTATTTCCTCCTGCATCTTCGAGGTCGTCATCGCTGTCACTTTCTACTGATAAAGCCTGCGAAAAAAATTGTTTATTTTTCATAAATATTATTAAAATTAAAAAATGATGATGAACAATTTAAATAAATCAAAGACGAATTATTTTGAAATATTTAAAACTTCACAAATTTTCATATTTTTATCAATGTAAAACTTATTGACCGTTAGCAATATGGTAAAATTTACCATACGTTTTTTGCGCATAAATTTCTATGAAATTTTCATAAACGATACAAGAAAGAAAAAAACTATAGGTGCCAACTCACCCGTTCTTTAAGAAGAATTAATGTGTAACTCGTAAAATATTGAGCATATGATTAGTAATATGTTTGATTGTATGTATAAAGAATATAACAAAATTTATGGTCATTCGAAGTTCATCTACATCTGTGATCTGAATGTCTTGCACTGTTCCTATTACTGTTGGTTTGTTAAATTATATGAATACACTATCACATAAATATCCAAATACTATGAGACTCCTTTTTTTCATAGATAACAAATAACAAATTTCGTACAGCATTAAAAATGAAATTATAGTGAAAGAACAAAGGGAAAAAGTGATCAGCAAGTGCAGACATAAAGTATATTCACTACACTTTGCCAAATTACTTTTAGTTTTGAATATTGACATTATAAGAAGGCATTTTGAGATAATTCTATAATTGTATAATGTGGTAATATCCATGAGTAGGATAACCTTGCACAAACTGTAGGCTCGCTCTAGGCATTATGACGATCATATAGGAGTTAAATTTCAAAATCCTTGCATTGAACACAAATTACAGTTAATAACATTCTATTTAACCTTTACTGCCGGAGAAAGTTTTGACGGCACAATTATAACTACCATACAATTGATACTGTTTAGTAGATCAGCAGCATCATCATCAATACATAAGTTTTATAATAAGATATAGAATAAAAAGAATATAATTAGGATACACGAAATTTAGGGAAGGAAAAAAAACAAGTATTCAGCAAATGTGGATTAAGAGATTCTCATTTTGTTAAAATCCGAATATCTCGATAGAATACAAACAATGCCTTAGACTAATAGTTTTTATCGCTTATTACTAGATGGTTCTTAGTCTGATCAATTAATACTGAAAGATCAAGTAAGTGATAATAATACTTACTTGATCGAGAATACTGGAAGACTGTGGCATCTGTTTGTTGTTCTGATCATTGCTGCTTGTAGGTTGAACGGAATTGGATGTAGATGATGCAGCAGGGCCCTTATGCTGTCTGTTCGGCCTAGGCGGGGCCTCTGGGCCCTGTGACACACCAAGCTCGTTGAGTTGAGCGGCCAGCATGTCCAAGTCCTATCACCCACACACACACACGCACAACCCCGTTAGTCACTGTTTCGAGATACCTCCAAAAATTGTTTAAAGCCACCATCTAATAGCCAAGCAGGACCAAAAGAGAAATAAAGTGGCAAAGAAGTTGTAAGACGTATTGTATTTAAGCAACCCCTGTAAAAGCTTTTATTCCTGTCAATACTTCAGACATTTTAAATTTATATAAAACTCCTTCAGTCAATTGACAATAAAAAATAAAACTATTTGTCGAACTTGATTTTACTTTTGTTACCAATTAGTCATGTTTATTCGATTATGCAAAAGGTTAGTCCCATTTGTCATTTGACGCATACACAATACTCATCGTAAATAATTTATTGTATTTGTGTACTATAACTATAAATTGGTAATTGCTCACTACTTCTGCCAGTTTGCCCTGAAGTAAAATAATAAATTCATTGATATAATTAACAAATAAGTCTGACATTGTATATATTATTTAATACTTTTGAAACTATTTTGAAACATCACGTATGATTTAATCCTCTTAGAATTTAATTCTTTTAGGAATTTATAAGATTGTTATGTATGATACTCTTATTAACACTCCTGATAGAAACACCAAATACTTCTAACAATTCCGATATTAATTGCAAATATTAGAAATGTAAGATTCTGACAAGTATCAATTTCAAATTGTTATATAGTATGCGATAAATGTTTCAAATTCATTGCAATACTATTATTACAGACGCATAGACTGTTTTCATCCATTTGTCTTCCCAAACGAATGTCTAGTTTAGCACTCACTCAAAGCTAATTAAATATTATTATACATATTAATAAACATTATATTGTATAACTTTAGAATAATCGAGACTCCGTAGCAGTTTCTTCATTTTCTTTTTTCAACAAAGAATTGAATCAGGAAATAAAATATTTACGTTTACATTCCAGATAACAGTATAATTTCTTATTTTTCCACACAAATTAATTCACTTTTGTAAACTGCAATATTTTTTACTATTAACTATGCCGTCAATAATATAAAGAACAAAAACTATAAAAATAAAACGTATACATTCGTGAATGTATAAAATAAAACTGTTTTAATATCTGTTCAAATATTTTATAATATGAAACATTTGTCATACTCGTATGTTATATCGTGTGTCAAATACAATGATCAGATATAATAATAATATACGACTTGACTATATTTCTCGAAACATGAAGGAACGTGTTGTGTTTGCGTAACGATACACAATATAACTCTATTAATGAGAGCATACATTTAGGCGATTTCAGTGAAGCATACCAAGAAATGATAATGTGCTCAAGCAACAGGATGTTGAAAAATGGTGATAGTTAAACTGGTTAAATGAAGAATTCTAATAATTGTTTAATAATCTCTGCGTGAGATTTAAACAAGCGGATCGTGTGTATTTATGGAAAGACAATTTGCTGTATAGCTTATGTAGAGTAACTGTTTGGTAATTTTTCTGTATATATAGGCAATGTTTGTGTAAAACGAAAACGTAGTGTGATCATGTATACGAATGTGAGGTTAACAATGTAACATGTAAAGAGAAAAATAAGTGTTGTGTTCTTACCTCCGGCCTCCTTGGCGGCAGCTACGGTACGTGTGAACATGGAAAAAAAACAAAAACCGAATAATTTCAGGCACGAAAAGGATTATGTATACCATACAGGGTGATTCTCGAGTAATGAAACAATAGAATACTTGATATAAAATTAACGAAATAAAAAATGTACGTGGTGTAACTTGAATATTTAAAACTCAATTTAAGAGACCTACGAATGTATAAAGTTCGAATTTCATTAATGAAATTGTAACTGCCTGTCATCCTTTAGACCACGTAACACTGACGGTGACGTAATTTATGATAAAGTATAGTACCCTGTAGTGTCTTATGTTTAGTTACTTCTACTTTCGCATTTCTCTGACCAAAACATATAAGAAATATGTTAATAATTAACGTATCTGAAAACATTTTAACAATTTTAACCGGAAGAAATTTTAAGTTATATTGCATAAAGTCTTTAGTGGACATCAAATAAAAGAAACATATTCCCGTGTTTCTCACGACTCACCCTGCACGTGTGTGTATCTTGATTATTGTGTATGTGTTAAGTGTTCAAGCTTCTCTGGGAATAATCATATACTTGTAAATCCGCGACTACGTGCATGCACGCCATAGCGACAAAATATAACAAACCTTTAAGTGCAATT